ATCGTAACGAACTATCCCATGGGGATGGTTACGGTTAGTTGGACACTATGGTATGACGACATCGTGTCCTTAAAGCGGCGTCGTTTTTGTGACTCTCTGGGATGTGGTTCTGCTTCGAAGTAATTGTCAATTCAGCAATGGTAGGTGTCATGAAATTTTTTTCATAAAAATAATCATGAAAGATTTGTGACCGTTAGATTACACTTAGAATAAAGCACCATACACTAATCAAGGTAATCCAAGAATCATAAATCTTTCATGATCATTTTCATGAAAAAAATTTCATGATCCCTAACTTTTCTCTTGTCAATTTGTCAGTTCCGAAAAACTACAAAACAGAGGAAACAAAGAATGACACGTGTGATAAATTTCTTCGCACCAAACTAAACCTAAGCTTAAGTCCCATAAAAAAAACAGTAATAATAATTTACAAACAATTCCTAAGATTTGTTTCAAATATAAATTTATTTCTAGGGAAAATTATTTATAATTTCTATTAGGGAGACTTATATTATATATGGTCCTATTAAAAAATTTATGTTCTCATAAGTCTTGTAGGAAGTTTGTTGACACATTTACCTTCAATATTAGTTGTTAATATCAGAAATAATAGTAAAATCATATATAGGAAATTGAATATTACCATATATCATATCTATATAAACATAACGTAACGTGACACCTATATAAACGTAACGTGACACCTATACGTAACGTGGCACTTACGTAAACGTAACTTGACACCTATGATCTATGGTAACATGTAATTTCCTATATAGGAAGCTGCATGTTATCCTAGATCATATCTACATAAACGTAACGTAACATGACACCTACATAAACGTAACGTGACACCTATTTAAGAAATTGAATGTTACCATAGACCATATCTACATAAACGTAACGTGACACCAATATAAACCAGCAACATTTTCACATTCAATTTAAAAAAATAAAAACTCATTAAGTTTGCGAAACGTAACGTGACACGTTATGTTACGTTTATGTAGGTGTTACGTTACGGTTATGTAAGTGTCACGTTACGTTACGTTTATATAAGTGTCACGTCACGTTATGTTTATGTACGATCTTGTGGAATACATTCCTATCTAAATAGAACTTGAGACTCTATAAGAAATTACACAGGACTTAACCAGTGTCTGAAAAAGGACTTATAAATAAGTCTCCCTTATTTCTATAATTTAAAAAATTACAAATATTTATTTATCATAATTTTTTATTTAATAGAATTAACTGAAAAAATAAAACTACTAATTGCTCTCCTATACAATAATGAAATTATCTTAATTATTATTTGAAATAAATTTGTGATATCCTTAAAAACTGATAATTGACTTTATGATTTATTAAAAGAATGTGTCATTTATTATGAAATTCAAAACTTCAAGAAGTGAGATATAATTTCAAAATCATAGAAGGCAAATATATTTTATTCAAATCTCCGGAGGTGTATTTGTAATTTATCCAAAAAAATTACATTGAGATCCGAAATTTTGACATAACTATATTAATTTTTTTTAAATTTTAATTCATATGATAATTTTTTTTAACATTTTTTTTTTATAGATTTGAATTCATATGATATTTGAATCACTTTAGTTAGTAATTTATTAGTCGCATGAAGAAAAAAAATAAAAATATTAACATATTTTTTACACTAAAATATATATATACCTTTTTTTTATATCTTTTTTTTTATATACTATGTTTGGGATACTACTTTGGGCTAAAATAACCATATAAGACAAAATTGGCTTTTTTAGTCGAATATGATAAAATGTCACATCAAATTCATAATTATTTTATTTTTTCTCTCACAAAAATCAAAAAGTCTATTCCAAACGAGACTTTTTGGTCTCAGGCCAAAAAATTAGAAAGTCAACCCACATTCCAAACGAAAGCTATGGCGCTGTTTGGGAAGAGGAATTGTAGGCTATTATAGCCTCAATTGAGAAAATAGCCCAAAAGCCCTACTATTCACCCTTTTTTAGTAATTTATTAGTCGCATGAAGAAAAAAAATAAAAATATTAACATATTTTTTACACTAAAATATATATATACCTTTTTTTTATATCTTTTTTTTTTATATACTATGTTTGGGATACTACTTTGGGCTAAAATAACCATATAAGACAAAATTGGCTATTTTAGTCAAATATGATAAAATGTCACATCAAATTCATAATTATTTTATTTTTTCTCTCACAAAAATCAAAAAAATCAAAAAGTCTATTCCAAACGAGACTTTTTGGTCTCAGGCCAAAAAATTAGAAAGTTAACCCACATTCCAAACGAAAGCTATATATCTACATTAGTTTTGGTTATTTCAATTTTGCTATAACAAACTTGCAAAATGTTTTGTAGCTCGAAATATTTTGCCCTAAATAGCTCGATTTTAGGAAACGATGTCGTTTTGATTTTGATTTTTTTTTTTCCTTCTTCTTTCCCTTCCACTTCTCGTTTCTCTCTCAAAGGTTGAACCAAACCCAGAGAGAAAGGGAGAAATATAGAAGGAGGAAGAGAGGAAGAGGATGGGGAGGAGGAGGAGGAGGAAGAGAAGGAGATGGTGATGGCGGATGAGGAAGATGTTGATGGCGATGATGATGTGTTGATGGTGAAGATGTTGATGAAGATGTTGCTATTGATGAAGATGTTGTCGTTGATTATTATTATTTCAATTTTTTTTTTGAAAATCAACACACAAAAAAAAAAAAACAGATTTGATCTGTTCATCATCATCTTCTTAATGGACAGGGACCACAAGTTTAAAATTATGAAGAGTAAACAGATCAGATCAGATCACATAAACATATCAGATCTGTTTCATAATTTTAATTCATAATTTTTTGTTTTAACTTCATCTCACATAAATAGATCAGATCTGTTTAACATAAATTTGTTCAACATAATTTTTTTATTACAAATCAGATCTGTTCATCATCTTGTTGATGATGATGATGTGTTGATGAATGTGTTCATCAGATCTGTTCATCATCTTAATGTGTTCACCAGATGCTCCCTCTTCTCTTTTCTTATTCTTCTTCTTCTTCCTCATCTTCAAAAAAACGAGAAACAAAAAAAACCAAAACGGCGTCGTTTTGGATTCGGACGAATTTCGAGCTCGGAAATTTTGAGCTATGTAGTGGAACTGAACAAACTTATAGTGTTTGTTATATTTTTTTTCTAAACATTAGGGTAGTATGTATAATTTATCCTAAATTTTATTATAGAGATACTAAATTGATTTAATCAACAACATTAATTATTATTAGGATAACAGATTCATCCATTTTGTATAATAATTTATTATTAATAAGTGCTATTATTGTGTCAATTATATCGTGGAATTACTATTGCATTCTAAATTATTATAAGAAGCCTTAGGCCTCATTTGCCAAGTGACTGTTTTAGTCTAAAAGTAAAAAAGTTACTAAAAAAATAAAAAAACTAACAATTTATATAAAAAAGTCAAATATTTTCTTTTCTCTCTACTCTTTGCACATTTTTTCGTAAAAAACTAAAAATTCCAAACATACTAATTTTTCAACTCCATTTCGTAGCTCGAAATGGCGTGGGTTGAAAGGCCCGAATTGCTTTGTACACCCACCATTTTCTTTGCACACCGGTCATCCCTTTCCTCATTTGCATTATTTCCTTCACTCTCTCTGTCTGTCTTACTCCCTCTGTTCATCTCCTCATTTGCATCATCTCCTTCAAGATTTGCATCCCCTTCCCTAAACTCAATAATCCAACAAAAGCATAAAAATAAAAATGACCAAAACATTACGAAGAAAAAATGGAGTTCAAATCACAACATGCAGACACAAAAATCAACACAAAACTTTACATTCAACTTGAATCAGAGCTGCGTAACAGAAAATTTATACAAATACACATTTAGTCCATGAGAATCGAACCAAATTTCATCCAACAAATAGAGGGAAAAAAAAAATAGCAAATAAATATATACACTAAAATGTCGGTGATTAACAAGTGTTAGAAGCAGACTAACTTAAAGCTCAACGTCATACTAATCTCTGTCGTCATTGATGGAGCTCGGTCCAAACGCGACCTTCCTCTGTGTATATACACAGACTTAGTCTTCTCCTCTCTTCTTCTTTCTCATTCTCTCATTTTCTCCTTCTGTCTATTTCAGAGAGAGAACATAGGGAAAAAAATAAAAAATAAAAAAAATACCCAAAACGACGTCGTTTTGGGTATTTGAGCCATTCGGGCCGCTGTATTTCGAGCTACCAGCCATTTTTCATAGTTTTTTTTATCTCATATTTTAACTAAAAAGTCAAAAAATTACTAAAATAACATATTACCAAACAAGACCTTATATTCTATTTGAGCACAAATAGTTAAGCTTAAATGATGCATATAATTTACAAGTGATTGTACGTATTCATATTTTATTCATAAGATATATGAATTTGAATTCTCTCTCATTAGTCAAAAAAATATGTATAAATAAAATTCTAGACACCAACTCAAGATTTTATTCAAAGCTTTGTTTTGGGCTTTTCACGGAAAATACATTTCTTAATGTTGTGTTTGGTTGGAGGATTTGAAAATGGATTTGAAAAAGAAAAGAGAAAAGATGTGTGAAACTAAGTAAAATGTAAGTATATTTTATTCATAGTTCACATTCTTTTTTCATTTATCTTTCAAAATTCTTTTTTAAATCCTCTAACTAAACACAGTATAAAGGTAGTATCCTAGACTTTCCAACGATGTCACCTAATGCAAAGCAATTTTTGCAAATTTTGTAATAAGCTGAATCTAGTATGTCTTTGAACCTTCTTGCTCAGAAATGAACTACTGATAATAAGTTATGTTCCTATTTGTTTACAGATTGCATGTTCTTGTGCAGTTGGATTATGAATCAATTTCAGTACAAGCATTCTGTATGAATATCATTTTCCAAATTTGAAAGCAGCTAACAACCCATCTATTAGATCTAAAGCAACTCGAAGAAGCCAAACACATAACTTCCCATATACACGAGAAATAATTTTTTTTACAAGCATGCAGAAGCATAATAATCTCTTTACATATAAAAAGGAGAGGGAATCAAATGAAATTCCATCTCGACATTGAAAATTGTGGGAATCACTGAAATTCCTTCTGCGTATGGTTCACCCCTATTACCGATCTCCTTCTTCTGTTCATAAAAAAAAGATACCTTACCCACTAACTGAAGAATAAGAACAATAACACATGCCTGCCACAATTAGTGATCTTATTCTGAAAGAAGATTGCTCTGTTCTTAGGTACTTCCACCCGGGTAAATGCACCCGTTATAACCTACAAGACAAAACCATGAAGGTGAGAAAAACATGAGAGAGATACAATAGATTGTTTGCTTGCATGATCAAAGCTAGCTCTAGGCCTGTTGGCAGACTGGATTTGGGGCGGATTTTGCATAATCTGATCTGAGTGTAAAACAATTTGAATCCAAACCTGATCCATTATGAAATCTGATCCTTTTTCCCTTAAGTTTATTTATTTATTTATTATTGTAAACCAAGAGATAAATGTAAGTGAAAAAAATAAAAAATAAAAAGAATGTTGTGATGGTGGAGGAAGGTGAGTTTGGGTATAAACAGAGAAGGTGTGAGAGAATAAAAATAAAATGAATAAGAAGGGTAGGTGAGAAAGAATTTATTTTATTGCATGACACACACTGATAGGAAATTCATGCATTATTAAAGCAAATGTTTTAGGAGACAACCTAATAGAGTAAAAGTTCGTAAAATAAAATTTTAATAATCAGATTTCCTAATGGATTCTGGAGATTCAAATTTGGGCCACACCCAATTAGTTGATTGGACCTAGTTAGCTCCTGCTCAAAATTGACTCAATAAACAAATGATAAAGTAGTTGTTTGAGAAAATCACCATGAAATATTTTTGAATAAGATGACTGTCAAGAACTGTCCTGCAATGTGCAATGTTTACTTTTGACTCTAACAATCTCCAGGTTAGGCCCATCTAATGGGATTAGAATTCTCACTAATAATTTTTGATGCAATAATCTTGTGAAAGTGATTTGAGGGTGTGTGCTCCATCGTAAGTGACCAACACAAAAAATATGAACATTGGCTATTTCACAAACTGAAATAGAGGTACACACAAGTGACTGACTAAAATTTATCTATTTCGGAACATAGAGATGGTTTGCTTGAACTGAGAAAACTTACTAGGATTGTTGGACGAGAGAGTGGCAGTCTGTGAGAAATCACAGTTCCATGGATTCCTGCCAGCAGTTTGGTAGAGAAGATTCATGGCAAAAGTAGCATGTGATGCCACAGTGTTTGGATCAAAACAAGCACCTCCTGGTTGGATTGGACTGCAATCAATCCCTTGTCCACAAGAATAATCCAAATTTGTTTGTAATTGGGCATCTGATACACCTGCCTTAGGCACACACCAAGCTGCTTTGATTGCCTTTGGGGATGGAGTCACCGGAGTTTTTGGCGTCGATGGAGTCTTAAAACAGAACAATTCATGTGAGTCAAGTGAAATGGCAGCTTATCAACAACAAGAACATCTTAAACAATGGCAACTGTAACAATAATTATTGTACCTAGTATCATATACACAATGTTAGCTTGATTTACATTTTGTTTATCTCATTTTCTAATAACTTAAATTTTTGGGACAATTGATAATGGGCGGTCTATTTGGCTCTTCACATGTGAGATCAGCCCACGTGAGAGAGCAGTGTTAGCTTGATAATAGATTGTTTGATCAATTTCTTAAGTTTTTAGACAATTGATTACTTAATAATAACAGTAGCATTAATTATTGTAATGCAATCACCTGGGTAGTCTTTGAAAGTCCAGCATCATAGGTCATGGTTAAATCAGGCTTGAAAAGCCCAAATGATCGCTCGGAAGTTGGTCCAGACTTCAAGTCCTCATCATACAATGCAAAGAGATACGTATCCACTGATTTCCCAGGCATCAATGGCGTCCCTACCATCGACCTTAGGTGCGCAATCAGATTGCCAGTATAAGCCCTGGCATTCTCAATGCTCGGACCCACCTCATTGCTGTCTCCTTTGTACGGCCATCCGGTCTCAGCGATCACAATCTCAACATCCTTGAATCCAGCTGAATTCAACGCTGATCGAACCGCATCCACCTACAAATCATTGTTATATTTAAGATCGTACGAAAAATCGATAGAACCAAATCAATCGCTACCTGCAAATCAATGTTATATTTAAGATCATATGAAAAATCGATAGAACCAAATTAGTCACTCCAAATTAGTATAGCCATAACAGTGATGATCAACAAAACTGTGGATTTTCGTTCAACGCTAATTTTTTCGATTACACCTTAGTTTATAATGGAGAGTCCAAAAGCACTGTATATAGATATGCATAGAGTTCTGAATTGAAATTCACTGACCTGGGCATCAAACATGTTAGTGTACTTGATCTTGGTGCCCGAGTCAACTCGTCCTGAGTTGGGCTGAAACAAACAAAACGCCAGGGTTTCAGGCCTTGGATCGCTCCGGTATGCAAAGAACGGGTACGGATTGATCGGAAAAGGCGAACCAGTTGCCTTATTGAACTCTAACAGCCCTTTCATCAAATCAGCAAAGCTCGGATCGAAACTTCCAGAAGACGGTGGATCAGACTGTCTCAACACATTCATGGAATGAACTGTTGAGACCTTAATCTTCCCGCCCAACGACGCCGAGTTCAGGGCGTTCTGGAGGTTATGCATCGCCGGCAAAAGCTGACTCATCAGATTCCGGTCGCCGGAGAACATGACCTCGTTGCCGACGGTGATGAGGATGATATTACTGGCTGGATAGAAAGGAATGACATTGGTGTTTATCCAATTGTTGGCGAAGTTCGGATCGGAAGCCATGGCCGGAATGTCGCCGTTGGACGCTCCGATCATGATTCCGATGCCGGAGTTCGATAGAGCTTTGATGATCGCCGGATCAACTCCGTATAGTCGAACCTTCTCGATTGCGGTGGATTGGAGCAGCTTCACCGTCGCAGACGGCGGTGGGAGGTTATCGGCGACTTGGCCGTAATTGACCCCGATAAATGACTCGGACTCTGCAAATACAGAGAAGCTTGAATGGTTCCAGCAAATTCTCACACACACACACACACACACATATATATATTCGAATTGGACAAAGAAATCATATGAATTGGATGAAGCTTTTCTCATTTGATATTTTTCGAAACAGAGGTGAGAGAAAGAAACAATCAAAACCGACAAGAATTTTCCGGGAAAATGAAGAGAAAGAAAATATGTGAGAAAATGTGGAGGAATTTGAAGACTTACTTGCCACGTAAGCTGAGTGTAAGAGAAAGATGATAAGGAAGAGTGAAGAGGAACGAAGAATCGCCGCCATAGTTGAAGAGCTCAGTTGTCTCTGGTTGTTGAAGAAGGCGTGCGAGGTAAGAAGATACATTGTTGAAGAAGGCGTGGACAGTTAAAAAAGAGTCAGAAAGGGCGAGGGTAAAACTGGAAACATGGTACTACTTTCTGTCGGTAAAACTTTACGGTACACTGTCGGCGTATGCTCATGTTTTAGTGCGCGTGGGGACCACTGTAATCTTTTAGTCTCTGCTGTATTTATCACTGCACGTGTCAAGGGTAAAATGAAAATTTACAAGAAAACTCAAAAAAAATTGAATTTTATTGAAGTTATTTATTTATTTATAAGATTGTATTCAGTTGAGAGATTTTGAAAAAAATATATAAAATTATGTGAAATATAAATATACTAGCGTATATTTAATATAATTATAATTCCAACACTATTTAATAAATTATCAATTATCAATTGTCAATTTAAAATAATTGTAATCCTAACCCTTCTGTATTATTTGCAGACCCACGAATGCAAATAATATTAAGATCACGCTCATTGCGGATAACAACATTAACATTTCTTATAAATGTTTTGTTCCTCATACTTTTTATAAATGTTATGTATATAAAGTTTTTGTATATCGATTCAATTTCTTCTTATAAATGTTTTGTTCCTCATACTTTTTATAAATGTTATGAATAAAGTTTTTGTATATCGATTCAATTTCTTCAAAAAAAGAAATGTTAATGTTGTTATCCGCGATGAGCGTGACCTTAATATTATTTTCATTCGTGGATCTGCAAATAATACAGAAGGGTTGGGATTACAATTATATTAAATTGACAATTGATAATTGATAATTTATTAAATAGTGTTGGAATTATAATTATATTCTAATCCTAACGTTATTAACACCGTGCCTTCAGGCACAAGTATACACTAGTATATTAATATTTTAAATGGCAAATTTTAATTGATCTCTAAGTGAGTATAGAGTAAATTGGGCCTTTGGATTCAAAATATTCATTCTTCTAGTTTTGAATGTCTAGCAAAACCGATTAATAAGTTCTGAAAATCAATCACAAATTTGAAATGGAGCTTTTGTAATATTAGGAACAAACTGTATGTAGAATGGTATAAAGGAAAATCAAAGAGAAAAATGGTTTATGCCAAATCAAAGAAGCTTCGTGAAATATTTCACAATCAAGTTTAGTATTACATAAACAAAAAATTCCACTTTTTGTTTTTTTGAAAGAAAAACAAAATTGCAGAAACAAATATAGCAACATCTAGCTAAACCCAAGCTCAAACCCACATCATAAATGTGAATGAATATTAGTAAAAAACTGTTACTGAGTTCTGAATAGGTTCAAACAACAAATATCACATAAATGCACCTATATATATATATATATATATATCAATTTGATGAAGCAAAATATTCGATATTTAACTCAAATAATACACGAAGGACTATATTATAACAATGAAACTAACACTAATCACAATCAAAAACAGCATAAAGTCAAGAAGCGCATTGAAGTAAATAGACACTTTATAAAACAAAAAAGAGTTTGGGACTTAGTTGCCACCAGGTGTGTAAACAGCCTACTGTTAAAAACTCTCTCTCTCTCTCTCTAGCTAGAAGATAATGATTTATCTTAGCACTACTTTCAATTCTGTGTTTCAAATGCAAATGGGAAATATTTGTATATAAAATAGTGAAACAAAAGAGGGCAATTTGGCAAAATGGGAAATCTTATGCTAGATCAAAACAACAAAATCATGACAAAAATCTCTCTCTCTCTCTCATCAACCTCAGAACCAAAACCCCAAGATTTTTTCCCAACACAAAACAAAAGAAGTTCAAAAGCAAAAAAATTGACAAAAAAGTAGCAGATACGCAAAAACAACAGTACTTTCTATCTGTCAAACAGCATTTCCAGAACCCAACTCTGCCCAGTCGCATAAAATAGCCAGAACCCAAGAAAGTAGCAGATACGCAAATGTCAATAAAAGAGTGTGTATATATGTATGACAAAAACATCTCTATTACTCATTTTCTAATTCTTAGTAGAAATAAATAAATAAATAAATAATTGAAACGGCTTCAAAGGGCGTGTCTAAAGAAACATTCAAATCAAACATAATGAGATTAATATATCCGGGGTGCATCTATGGTTTGAAATTAGATTAAAACTCAAAAGTGAGATTAATATATCCAACAAACACATATCAATTGAAATTCAAATCACCAAGATTTTAATGGGTATACTAAAGAGTGAAGACATAATCAGACAACCTTCCTCTTATTTGAAATCCATATAGCAAAAACACATCAAACCCACAAGAAATTATGCTATTGTGATTAAGCAAAAACCTATCAAAGAATGGAAATGACTCACTCACCAAAGTCTCTTTGCCATTGTCTGATGTAATAACAGAGCAAGAAACGCTAGGTCTGATCTTCCTCTCCTTTCTCTCATATCTCAAGCCTTTTGCTAACTGATTAACCTAATGACGACTGTTCTTGTTGAGACTCCCTCTCATCCTCTCCCCTCAAAACCCATTATCACCATGACTCAGACCACATTTGCTTGGGTTTGCCAAGTGGGTATTGGCTCTCAAGGTTGCACAGCAAGAATCCATTACAAATGAGTTGATTAACAGAGGAAATACAACTGATCCAGAAATCAATAAATTACAAGTTTTTAAATCACATAATGGAAAAACAATCACTCTTAAAAGCATAGGCAGATATTGAATCAGATATTGAATCACAACCATAATCAGCGACAATGATCAAAACAATCACTCCTAAAAGCAAAAAACAAACGGAAAAAATACTTAAAAAGGAAAAAAAAAATAGAAATCATATGAAGCATATATGCAGAGAAAAAGATCAAAAAAATCAATCAATTCGAGGAAACCAATCGATTTTGTTGATCAGTTTGTACCTTAATAGTGGCGGTGCTAACCAATAGAAAGGTTCGAAGACCCTGGAATTTGTATCGAGAAATCTAGGGTTTTTTGGGGTTTGCTTGTGTATGTAGAGAGAGAGAGAGAGAGAGGGAGTGCCGATGTCAAAACAGCCAAACCATTAACATCTGTGTATAAGCTAAAGAGAAATAGTCTCAATCATCAAGATCATCCATCTCATCATCAAGATCGTCACGGGACTCAATCAACGATGGGTTTGAATTGCAGCAACGATGGGTTTGAAGGGAGCGGGTGCAAGTGCGAGGAGGGTAGGTGTCGATGAGCCAAGTTCGATTTTCCCCTTCAATGGCGGCGATGAGCGAACGTGTAGAGAGGGCTAGATGTGTAGAGAGAGAACTTGTGAAGAGAGGCGTCTGTTTGGGCAGATGTAGGAGTGAGAGAGAGATGAGCGTTTGGGCGGGAGAGAGAGAGAGAGCGTTTGGGCAGACATCATCTCAACCATTGATATAAACTTAGAATTAATCTCAGTCAGTCATTGGATCAAAATGTATCTCATATACATTTTAAGACATTTTTAAAAAACCTCTTGCCTTATTATATAGATTTTATTTGTCTTTTTAAATTTTTTTTCACGTTTTCTTATCAAACACAACTTTAAGGTCGCATGTCATGATTTCCTTATCATTGTATTTTTTTTTAATTTTTTATGCGCTAATTTAAAAATTAATTATTTCAGGACGTATTAAAACTATAAAAAATTATATAATAATTTATAATAATTTTTTAATTAAAATAATTCATTGACAAATAAAGCTTTAGTGGCCTAAAATAATATATATTTTTTTAATTTTAATTTTACAATTGAACTATTCTTAAGTTTTATAATTTTATCAATTCTAACATAATAATTTTTATTTATAACAAATTTACTTAGGCAAAATCCAACTCTTTCGTTGGCCCTGATTGGTTGAGTTTTTTTTTTAAAGCTAAAATCTAATAATCATAAAATATAAACTAAAAGTATCACTTTCCTAGCATTTAAATAATCATATTTTTCAAATAAGCTAGTTATGCCTAATAAGTTATGAGTAAAAATTACACAAAATAGTCTAATATAAATTCTAAAATTAAAATAAATTGTAATCACCTTCTAAAATCTATATCAAATAACCCCACTATATGTAATTATAAATAAATTATGAGTAAATAACATTAATAATTAATAAATTATTAACATGGATAACATAGCTTTTAAGTGGGGTAAATGCCCCTGTTGCTCATAGCCGTTTGGTTTGGACGGTTTCAAACTTAGGTGCGGGACGTGTTCCGCACTTGTGTAGGTGACGCTTATCCAACCGGGGATTTGATAATTAATCGGATTATACAATACGACAATCATATCAGATAGTGGTAGAGAGAAGTTATTAGTTGCTCTTGACTATCGCCACGTGATATTTTAATGATTTTGTAATTCGTAAAAGAAGTGAAATCTACGAATTTATATTAAGGTTAAGTTTGGTATGATTGAAAAAAGATAAAAAGTCAAAAAATCACTATCCTGTTTAAGTCACATCATCTTATTTAAGTAACATCACCTCTCTAACACATCACTTCAAACCCAATCTAAACCCAACCCATATTTCATAAAAAGTCAAAAAATATACTTATTTAGTCTTCCCAAACTAGGCCTAAATGATTGAAAAATATAAAAAGATTATGATAAATTGTGATTAATGTGAAGTATGGTCATGTAATTCTTCAAGACCCACTAATAATTTTTTAATGGTGGAACATTTGGTCAGACTATTGATTAAATTTTTAAATTTTATTTTAAATATTTTTTAAAAATAATATTGTGATAAAAAAACACTAATTATTTTTATGCAACATATTATCATTTTTTTAACAACTCAAATTATTTTTGTGTGTTTATTTTGTCAAAATTATTTTAAATTTTTAAACAAAATTTTAAAATTATTTTTTAGAAACTGAACCGTTTAAAAAAATCTTATTTGTCACATTTTATTTGTTTATTTTTTGAAATTAATACTTATATTCCAATTTTTGTTATTTACATTGGGGTGTTTGGGAAGCCAAAAATTGGCTTTTTTGGCTGAAATTTACAAAAAAAAAAAGAAGACAAAATATATTAAAATAATTAATAAGACAAAATGTCATATCAAACTCA